AAAGTAGTCTCTAAATAATGAAAAAAAGAATAAGATAAGACTATAAGAGCGAGAAGCAATTTAAATATGTTCAGGGACCATTTTCATCTCCAGAATTAAGGATTATTTTGATGTTACATCATTGCCTTTTCTCTTTTACTTTCCTTTTTAGTTTTATTTTAGGATTCCCTATTTTTAATGTTCATACAGAGATTTCTTTAACTGAAATACCGAATAGTTTCTTTGGTGTGAAAAACTATAATAGTACACAGGATCCTAATGAGATAATTAATAATGTGAAATAGGAAGTAAAGGGCTAAAGGTGTAAGGAAAGTGGGAAGGGTGGGGGAAAGGTAATGAGGGAGGGGAAAAAATATGAGAAACTGAAAAAATGGAAATAAAATGCTTGTAAATGGGGAGGGGAGGAGGGGGTGAATGGAGGGCAGGGACAAGGGGAAAAATGAGAATCAAGACCTATTATGTAAAGGTACAGAATCCCAATGATGAATGTAATTGTATTGTATACCTAGATTGTACCAATAACCTCAATAAAAAGAAAAAAAAAAAACTCTGGAAAAGAACAGTAGCCAGAGAGTGTGACTCACATGCTGGCATTAGATTCTCTCAGAGCTAGAACACTGAGCTTCTGTCAGGCAAAGAAAGAGTCCCCATGAATAGTCATCTCTGTAAAGGGCAGTTACTGTCATTCCTTAAAAGACACAAGCATGGCTGGTGACCAGCACCAGCTGACAATACTTGGGTTCTGGCAGCTTCGGAACATCATGATCAGAAACTCGGCCTCTGTTGACAGAAATTCCATGTCAGACTAAGAGTAATTATGTCTCCTGTGGGGTTAGATCCCCCTTGGAGGACTAGGCCCACTTCTAAGCACCACACCTTAATAAGGATTCAAAACAACATTAGAAAATTCAGAGGGAGCATGTAGGATGTGGAGTTGAGGAATAGTTGAAGTAACCCTAAAATTGTTTATTTGGGATATTCTCAAGCTTCCACTATTACAAATAAAGCTACAAAAAAAATATCCTGAGGCTAAATCTTTGTGTACATAATCTTCATTATTTTCTTGAAAGCCAGGAGTGATGGCTCACACGTATTGTTCTAGAAAATCAATTATCTACACATATTGCAATTTGATCATTTTTACTCCCCTTGCCGCTGCCCTACAATCTCCCTCCTTTCCCGTATCGCCTTCCTATCAATACAGAATCTACCTCCCTGTTTCTTAACATGGCTCTTTATTTGTTTTTTAAATTATTTATATTTAGAGTCTTAAATTTAGGTCTTTATGGCTGAGCTATATATACACGTGTGTGTGTGTGTGTGAGTGATATTTTCTTTATCCATTCATCTGTTTATTTGGGGTTTTTGTTTTGTTTTTGAGACAGGGTCTCACTATGTAGTTGAGACTGACCTGGAACTCACTCTTTAGGCAAGGCTGGTCTTGAACACACAGCGATCCTCCTGCCTCAGCCTCCCATGCCAGGCTGTCATTCATCTGTTGATGGGCATCCAGTC